CTATTAAAAATACAAATTTAGATGGGCATGGTGGTGAGCACCTGTAATCCCACCTACTCGGGAGGCTAATTTTTGCAGGAGAATCACTTGAACCTGGGAGGCAAAGGTTGTGGTGAGCCGAGATCGTGCATTGCACTACAGCCTGGGTGACACGAGCAAGACTCCATCTCAAAAAAATATTTTTTTTTAATCAATTTCTACAAAAAATAAAATAAAATAATATTAGCTGGGTGTGATGGCTCCCACCTGTAGTCCTAGCTGCTAGGGAGGCCGAAGTGGGAGGATTGCTTGAGCCCAGGAGGTAGAAGTTGCAGAGAGCAGAGATCACACCACTGCACTCCAGCCTGGGTGACAGACTGAGACCCTGTCTCAAAATTTAAAAAAATTTTTTTAAATCCTCGTTGTTCCAGCTGGAGACTTAAAGGCCCAGAGAAGGCAAGCAATGTGCCCAAGATCAAGCAATGAGTTAGTTTCCACACAGAGACCAGAATTCAGCACTGCCTTTACCCATCCCTCCCGAAGCCCTCACGCAAAGCAGGGTGGGTGCTCCAAAAATAATATCCCCAAATGGTGTTCGAAACCTTGATGATGATGATGGTGACCATGTTCACTACTGGTGTTAAGTGCTTACGCTATGCTAGGCAGTGTTCTAAGTTCTTTGCATGGATCCACCCACTTTAATCCACACGTATCCCAGTGAAGAAGGTTAAATTACTATTCCCATTCTATAGATAAAGAAACTGAAGGCCAGATGCGGTGGCTCACGTCTGTTATCCCAGCACTCTGGGAGGCCAAGGTGGGCAGATTACCTGAGGTCGGGAGTTCGAGACCAGCCTGATCAACATGGAGAAACCCCTTCTCTATTAAAATACAAAATTAGCCTGGTGTGATGACGCATGCCTGTAATCCCAGCTACTCGGGAGGCTGAGGCAGGAGAATCTCTTAAACCTGGGAGGCGGAGGTTGTCGTGAGCCAAGATCGCACCATTGCACTCCAGTCTGGGCAACAAGAACGAAGCTCTGACTCAAAAAAAAAAAAGAAAAAAAAGAAAAAGAAACTGAGGCACAGAGAGTTTAAGCAAGAAGCAGAGCTGAGATTTGCACTAGGTGGTCAGGCTCCAGTGGTGCTGCCCTCAAAAGCAGATGGTTGAGAGTCCCCGCTGAGTAAAGAAGGTGACATGGCACAGTCGATGCAACCTGAATCAGATGCCAGGCTACCAGGGCATCTGTCCTCAACTTGCTGGATAATGTGGGCAGTTCCCACCCTGGACTCCATTTACTTACCAAAAGGAAAAAGAGGCAGTTTAGCAAGAGGCTCCCAGGAGCCTTTGGCAATGTGGTTTTTCTGTTTTGGTTTTTTGAGACAGGGTCTCATTCTGTCACCCAGGCTGGAGCACAATAGCGTGATCTCAGCTCACCGAAACCTCTGCCTCCCAGGTTCAAGTGATTCTCCTGCCTCAGCCTCTCTCTCAAGAGTAGCTGGGATTACAGGCGCCCACCACCACACCCAGCTAATTTTTTTGTATTTTCAGTAGAGACAGGGTTTTGCCATGTTGGCCAGGCTGGTCTCGAACTCCTGACCTCAAGCGATCTGCCCACCTCAGCCTCCCAAAGTGCTGGGATTACAGGCATGAGCCACTGCGCCCAGCCTGGCAATGTGGTTCTACATATATTTTCTTTCTTTTTCTTTTTTTTTTTCTCTGCACTTTGTGAACAAAGCTAGATGTATTTTTGTAGAACTGAGCTGACAGCAGAAAAAGAGAGCTAGAACTTGTGGCTTCACTCTTGAACTGGGTCAGGAAAGACAAGTGGTCTGGTGGCTTTTCAGGGATGGACAGGGAAGCCTGGACTCCTCCTCAGTGAGAAAGGGCTGTGGCCTCTGTCACCTGGGACTGGCTGTCTTGCCACATCATTTTTCACTGCTGGCTTGGATGCCTGGAATCCATGGAGTAGAGTCACAGCCTGTACCCACGACCTGACGGCAGCATGTTCTCAGCCTTGCAGCCCCTCCTCCTCCAGGTCACCCATCTTCTCCCTCCCATGGGCCCTGCCTTCTGGACCCATGCCGAAGGTGCCCCGCCTCTCTCCAACTTCAAGGAAACCAAGTCCATGGCCCTGGCCACAAATTTATACCAACTAAAAGACATACATGGCCGGGCGCTCACATATACAGGCTCACGTCTATAATCCCAACACTTTGGGAGGCCGAGGCAGGAGGATCACATGAGATCAGGAGTTCGAGAACAACCTGGCCAACATGGTGAAATCTCGTCTCTACTAAATGTACAAAAATTAGCCGGGGGTGGTGGCGCACACCTGTGATCCCAGTTTCTTGGAAGACTGAGGCATGAGAATCACTTGAACCTAGGGGGCGGAAGTTGCAGTGAGCCAAGATCTCACCACTGCATTCCAGCCTGGGCATCAGAGACAGACTCTGTAAAAACAAACAAAAAAATGCCGTGCAAGTACCTATACAACAACCCTGCATGATCTGCACATGTACTGCAGAACCTAAAGTACAATAATAAAGAAAAAGACATATACTAGATACAACATGTATTGGGCACTGTTAGAATTTACATGAATTAGGCGGGGCATGGTGGCTAACGCCTATAATCTCAACACTTTGGGAGGCCAAGGAGTTCAAGATCAGCCTTGGCAACAAGGTGAAACCCCATTTCTACAAAAAAAGAAAAAAAAAAAAAAAAAAAAAATTAGCTCAGCGTGGTGGTATGTGCCTAGAGTCAAAGCAACTCAGGGGGCTGAGGTGGGAGAATCACTTGAGCTTGGGAGGCAGAAGTTGTAGTGAGCCAAGATCACACCACTGCACTCCAGCCTGGATGACAGAGTGAAACCCTGTCTCAAAAAACAAACAAAAAATAATAATTTATGTGAATTAATATTTAATTTTCCTACGGACCCTATAATGTAAATATCCTATTACACATTTTCCAGATGATGTATTTGAGGCCCAGAGGGGTTGAGCACTTTACACCAGGTCACACAGCATCTATGGGCAGAGCCAGGATATGGGTCCAGGCAGACTATTCCTTAAACCACACTGTAGCTTCCTTCCCACTTAACGGCTCCCCAGAGCCCCGACTCCTTCCCAATCCTGTCCTTCCTACAGGGTCAGTCTCTCTCCGTCAGCTAGGGGCTGGAGTACAGTGTTGCTGTTGATATTAAGAGCACAGAAGCCAGAGTTGACCGTCGGGTTCCAGTCCTGACTGCCACTCACTGGCTGTGTGCCTTTGAGCAAACCTCACAGCCTGTTTGCTCTCCTATAAAAAAAAGGGAACAACAGAATCCGCCCCACAGGCTCATTGCGAAGATTAAGTCAGTAGTGTAGACCAGTGTCTCTCAAAGAACAGTAAGGAGGTCCCTGAGGATCCCCAAGACTCTTTCAGGGGATCCATGAGGTCAAAATTATTTTTATAGTAATTCTAAGATGTTATTTGCCTTTTTCACTCTCATTTTCTCTTGAGCATGTGGTGTTTTCCGTCATGTGATATTGCAACAGGATGAAAACAGAAGCAGATAGGAGATTCCAGCTGCCTGCTATACAGACGGACATTAAAGAAATCTGGAATAATGTAAAACAAAGATACCTTCACACTAATTTTTTTGTTTTTGAAAATATGGTTATTTTTCATAAAATAGATGGTTTATGTTCATGTGTAATGTCTGTTGTTACTTTTACATTAATTAATATTTATGAAATTTCTCAATTGGGTTTTTTTGTTTGTTTGTTTTTTGAGACACAGCCTCGCACTGTTGCCCAGGCGGGAGTGCAGTGGTGCGATCTTGGCTCAAGATCCCAATATTCAATTCTCCTAAGGACCCTGTAATGTAAATATCCTATTACACATTTTCCAGATTAGATATTTGAGGCCCAGAGAGGCTGAGCACTTGGCTGCAACATCCACTTCCTGGGTTCAGGCAATTCTCCTGCCTCAGCCTCCCGAGTATCTGGGATTACAGGTATGTACCACAATTCCCAGCTAACTTTTGTTTTTGTTTTTTGAGATGGAGTCTCATTCTGTCGCCCAGGCTGGAGTGCAATGGCACACTCTGGGCTCACTGCAACCTCTGCCTCCTGGGTTCAAGTGATTCTTCCGCCTCAGTCTCCCAAGTAGCTGGGATTACAGGTGTGTGACACCACACCCGGCTAATTTTTGTATTTTTAGTAGAGACTCACCATGTTAGTCAGGTGAAACTCAGTAGAGTTTCACCATGTTGGTCAGGCTGGTCTCAAACTCCTGACCTTGTGATCCGCCCGCCTCGGTCTCCCAAAGTGCTGGGATTACAGACGTGAGCCACCGCACCCAGCCTAACTTTTGTATTTTTAGTAGAGACAGGATTTCACAATGTTGGCCAGGTGGTCTTAAACTCCTGACCTCAAGTGGTCCACTCGTCTCGGCCTTTCAAAGTACTGGGATTACAGGCATGAGCCACCGCTCCTGGCCCTCAGCTTTAATTTCTAATACAGTCAATGTTGATAGATGTAATCCATATGAACAAAAACTTTTTGGGGTCCTCAATAATTTTGAGAGTATAAAGAGGTTCCAAGACTAAAAATTTTGAGAACTGCTAAGTGAGTCCAAGGTTCTGGCTACACAATGTGGAAGAAAGCGTCCCTGACCTTGGGCTCCCTAAACTGCATCAATCCCTTGTTCCTGGGCTGTGTCTCACCTCCTCTGCCTGCCCTGCTGGAGGCCTTAACTAAACTGCAGGTAGCTGCACAATGGCCGGGATGGTGGTTGATCAGTGACCCTGGACTAGACTCTGGGATGCTCTGAAATTCCTGTTTCTTTATCTGAAGGACCAGCATGATCAGCCAAGCAGATTTCTCAGGCACCTTGAACCGCCCACATGTGAAGAAAGTGTAAACAATAAATCCTAAATCTGGTGTGTTAGGCTATTTTTGCACTGCTATAAAGAAATGCCTGAGGCGATTCTTTGAGCTCGTCCTCATTCTTTGTTTCTCGAGTGCTCTTTCACTGTCCTCCGCCATGCCTGACCCGGTTAAGTCCGCTCCGGCCCCAAAAAAGGGCTCCAAGAAGGCGGTGACCAAGGCGCAGAAGAAGGACAGCAAGAAGCGCAAGCGCAGCCCCAAGGAGAGCTACTCCATCTACGTGTACAAGGTGCTGAAGCAGGTCCACCCCGACACCGGCATCTCCTCCAAGGCCATGGGCATCATGAACTCCTTCGTCAACGACATCTTCAAGCGCATCGCGGGCGAGGCTTCCCGCCTGGCACATTACAACAAGAGCTCGACCATCACCTCCAGAGAGATCCAGACGGCTGTGCGCCTGTTGCTGCCTGGGGAGCTGGCCAAGCACGCAGTGTCCGAAGGCACCAAAGCCGTCACCAAATACACCAGCTCCAAATGAGCCCCTCCCAGCTACTGACAATCCAAAGGCTCTTTTCAGAGCCACTCAAAAAAAAGAAAGAAAGAAATACCTGAGGCTGGCTAACTTATTTAAAAAATAGGCTGGGCATGGTGGCTCAGGCCTGTAACCCAGGACTTTGGGAGGCAGAGGCGGGCAGATCACTTGAGGCCAGGAGGTTGAGACAGCCTGGCCAACATGGTGAAACTCCATCTCTGCTAAAAATATTAAAATAAGCCAGGTGGTGGCAGGCACCTGTAGTCTCCGCTACTCAGGAGGCTGAAGCAAGAGAAATGATTGAGCAGGTTGCAGAAAGCCATGATCACACTACTGCAATCCAGTCTCGGCAACAGAGCAAGACTGTCTCAAAAAAACAAAAAGCAAGTTTAATTGGCTCACAGTTCTGTGGGTTATAAAAGAAGCATAGTGCTGGCATCTGCTTCTGGTGAAGCCTCAGGAAGCTTACAATCATGGTGAAAGGGGAAGGGGAAGCAGGTGCCTCCCATGGTGAGAGTAGGAGAGAGAGTGAAAAGGGGGAGGTCCCAGACTCTATTTATTTTTGAGACAGAGTCTCAATCTGTTGCCCAGGCTGGAGTGCAGTGGTGCAATCTCAGCTCACTGCAACCTCCACCTCCTGGGTTTAAGCGATTCTCATGCCTCAGCCTCCTGAGTAGCTAGAACTACAAGTGCACACCACCACGCCTGGCTAATTTTTTGTGTTTTTTTAGTAGAGACAGGGTTTCACCATGTTGGGCAGGCTGGTCCTGAACTCCTGACCTCGAATGATCTGTCTGCCTTGGCCTCCCAAAGTTCTGGAATTACAGGTGTGAGCCACCACCCCTGGCCCCAGACTGTTTTAAACAATCTTGCACGAACTAACTGAGTGAGAATTCACTCCTTACCAAAGGGATGATGCTAAGCCATTCATGAGGTATCAGCCCTCATGATCTAATTACTTCCCACCAGGCCCCACCTCCAACATTGGGAATCACATTTCAACATGAGATTTGGAAGGGACAAATATTCATATAATTCCACTTCTGGCCCCCCATATCTCATGTCCTTCTCACATTTCAAAATATGACCATGCCTTTGTAAAAGCACCTCAAAGTCTTAACTTGTTCCAGCCTTAACTCAAAAGTCCCGGACTCTAAAGTCCAAAGTCTCATCTGAGACTCAAGGTCAAGTTCCTTCCACCTATGAGATGGTACAGGCATTGGGTAAACATTCTTGTTCCAAGAGGGAAAAATTCACCAAAAGAAAGAGGTAATAGGCCCCATGCAAGTCTGAAACCCAGCAGGGTGGGCATTAAATCTGAAAGCTCCAAAGTAATCTTTGACTCCATGTCCCAGACAGTAGTGTAAGGGATTGGATTCTAAAGCCTTGGGCAGCCCCACCCTGTGGCTTTCCTGGACGTAGCCCATGTGGTTGTTCTTGTGGGTTGAAGTTGAATGCCTATGGGTTTTCCATGCTGAGGTTGCAAGCTACCAGTGGGTCTACAATTCTGGGGTCTGGAGGTGGTGTCCCCCTCCCTGCCGCTCCACTAGGCAGTGCCCTGTTGGGGATTCTGTGTGGGGGCTCCAACCCCACATTTCCCCTCAGCATTGCCCAAGTAGTTTCTCTGTGGGGCTCTACCCCTGCAGCAGGCTTCTGCCTGGGTACCCTAGCTTTTCTATACATCTTCTGAAATCTAGGAGGAAGCTGCCAAGCCTCCTTCACTCTTGTATTCTGTGCACCTGCGGGCTTAACAGCATGTAGAAGCCACCAAGACTTATGCCTTGTGCCTTCTTTTTTTTTTTTTTTTTTTTTTTTTGGAGACGGAGTTTCGCTCTTGTTACCCAGGCTGGAGTGCAATGGCGCGATCTCGGCTCACCGCAACCTCCACCTCCTGGGTTCAAGCAGTTCTCCTGCTTCAGCCTCCTGAGTAGCTGGGATTACAGGCACACACCACCATGCCCAGCTAATGTTTTTTTGTAGTTTTAGTAGAGACGGGGTTTCACCGTGTTGACCAGGATGGTCTCGATCTCTTGACCTCGTGATCCACCCGCCTCAGCCTCCCAAAGTGCTGGGATTACAAGCGTGAGCCACCGCGCCCGGCCTATGCCTTGTGCCTTCTGAAGTGGCAGCCCAAGCTGTACCTAGGGCCCTTTGAGCCATGGCTGTAACTGGAGCAGTGAGGATGAGGGGAGTAGCCTCTGGAGGTGGTGCAGGGCATTGGTGCCCTGAGCCTGGCCCACAAAATCATTCTTTCCTCCAAGGCCTAAGGACCTGTGATGGGAGGGGCTTTCCAAAAGGCTTCTGAAATGATTTTGAGGCCTCTTTCCCACTGTCTTGGATATTGACACCTGGCTGCCTTTTAGTCATGTTAATCACTGTGGCAAGTGGTTATTCCACAGCCTACTTGGATTCTTTCTCCACCACTGGGCCAGGCTGCAAATTTTCCAAACTTTTATGCTCTGCTTCTCTTTTAAATATAAATTTCAACTTTAGTTATTTATTTGCTCCCATGTCTCATTTAGGTTATTAGAAGCAGCCAGACCACCTCTTGAATGCTTTTCTCCTTAGCAATTTCTTCCACCAGATACTAGAGGTCATCACTCTTCAGTTCAAACTTTCAACGAGCCCTCAGCCATGGACACAACGCAGCCAAGTTCTTTGCTAGGTCATAAATGGGTGACCTTTACTCTGGTTCCTAATAACTTCATCATTTCTATCTTAGACCTTGTCAGCCCGGCCTTCACTGTCCATATTGCTATCAGAATTTTGGTCACAATCATTTGTCTTCTCATCTTACTGCCTTCTTCTGACCCCTTCAAATTCTTTCAACTTCAGCCTGTTGCCCAGTTCCAAAGTCACTTCCACATGTTCAGGTATCTTTATAGAACAACCCTCTCCTGGGACCAACTTTCTCTCTCTGTATGTATTTTTTCTCTTTTGACATGAAGTTTCACTCTTGTCACCCAGGCTGTAGTGCAATGGCATGATCTCGGCTCTCTAAAACCTACACCTCCTGGGTTCAAGTGATTCTCCTGTCTCAGCCCCACAAGTAGCTGGGATTATAGGCATGAGCCACCACGCCCCGCCTCTGGTACCAATTTTCTGTGGGTTTTTTTGTTTCCTTTTTTCTTTTTTGAGACAAAGTCTCGCTGT